CCAGTAAGATCCATCATGCCAGTTACTGTTAATCCCCAGGCCCTCACCCTGTCCCAGGCAACACTAATTTACTTTCTGTCTGTATAGTAGATTTGCCTTTTCTGGGCATTCGTGTCAATGAAATCATACAATATGTAGTCTCTACTATCTGGCTTCTTTCCTTAGCTTAGTGCTTTTGGGGTCTGCCATGTGTACAGCGTGTACACCATGTTGCAGCATGTATCAGTAGTGTGTTCCTTGCTACGGCTGAGCAGTACTCCATAGTATGGATGTACCACATTTGGCTGTCCATTCACCTGTCGATGGACCTGATTTGGGGCTATTATGAATAATGCTGCTAAGAACACTCATGTACAAGTCTCTGGACATATGTTTTCATTTCTCTTGAGTAGACAGGAATGAAATCTTTGAGTTATATGGCAAATATATGTTTTCTTTTTTAAAGAAACTTCCAAACTGTTTTACAAAACAGCTTCATCATTCTCACCAACAATATATGAGGGTTCCTATTTCTTCATGTCCTCACCAACATTTGTTATTGTATTTTTATTAAATCCCACTGGGTGTGAAATTGTATCTCATTGTGGCTTTCGTTTGCATTTCCTTAATAATGGTGCTGAGAATCTGTTCATGTGCTTATTTGCCATTCATGGATTTTGGTGAGATGCCCATTCACATCTCCAGGAGGGAGTTAGTTCTGTTGTATTTTTCCCCAGCAGACTGTCAGATGCCCTTCGATATTCCAGTTTCACTGTACATTTTAATAGATACTTGTTCAGATTAATCAACAGTCTCCTCACTGGCACGACCCAGAGGCAGGCTGTGCCCGTGGCTCGGTTGTCGCGTCTGCCCTGAACCTGTGTGGCTCCCGCGGTGAGAGCAGGTTGGTTCCGCCAGTCAGGAGGAGCGCGCCGGGAGTCCCTGGGCTGTGGGGGCAGTACTGCAGGGCCCTCTGTGCACTCGCCCAGCCCGGAGATGCCCCTCTGAGCACTTGTACGTGAACTTGCGCCAGGGAGCTGGCTGCCACATGCCTGCTTGATAAGCCGCGGCGTCATCCTTTGCTCATCTGTGCCTTCCTCATTCTCACTTTGACCTGTTCTTCAGAATTGAAAGAATACTCAGATCTCCGTTTTCCTCAGAGAATGTGGAAGCAGAACAATGAGCCCCTCTTGGAGCAACAAAATATAAAAGGGAAAGTATGCCTCCCTTTAAGGAGTCCGTGCAGCCATCTACTTGTTCTGATCTGTGTCATGAACAGCTTCTACGATGAGAAGCCTCGGCTGCAGGACGCAGCGGCAAGAGCCCGCCCGCCAGGCAGGCCGGGACGCACAGGACTAAAACTCGATTGGACCTCGGGTCACGTGTGTCTTTCTTCCATTCAGTGTAAAAATAGATGTGGACTTTCTTGCCGGGTGTGTGTTTGAAGACAGTGACATCTGCTAGGCTTCAGCAAATTGTTTGAGGCCCTGGAACATGTTTTTGAAGTAAAAACAATAGTTTGTGAATTCTGTACCTGTTATTTTCACTTAAGGTGTAAGTGACATCAGTGTGTTGTTTTCTCCTTTGATTTGCTTTTTGCTTGCTTTATTAGCCACAAAACTATAAAAAGGCAGAACTGTTTTTGGGGTTGTGAGACAGCTGCTATGATTCATTATTTCCCATTTGCAAAACAGTTCCTAAGGCAAATTATAAAGAAATTAAAGTGCTTCTGACAGATTCAGAAGTGTAAACGTAGGGCAGTTTGTTTCCACATCCTCTCTGGCCAGCTGTCAGTTCCTTTCTTCCTTGACCTACTGAATGTACAGGCGAAGACTGCTGGCTGGCCTTCACCGTGTCATGTTGCAAACCTTTGTTAACATTCTGGATTTTGGCCTCTTCCACCTCCCCCAGATGTCATTCAGGCTGTCAGCACCATTGCTGTGCAAGAGAAAGAGGACCGACTCTGGCCTCGAGTGGCCATCTTCTCGTCAGAAGCCCCGGGAGTCCTCCACGGGGTGAGGCTCAGCAGCCTGAAGGTCGTGGACCTGGAATCCCACCAGCCCACATACTCCTCAGGTACTCCCCCAGCTGGCATCCGCCTCCCCGCCCGCCTCAGCACCTTCAAGCTGAATTCAACCCTGGGTGCTGGATGCTTGGGAAACAAGTGGAGGAGAGGCAAGCCCTGGCCTCAAGCAGCTGCCAGTCTGGGGCTGGAAGACGCAGTCCTGGGCCAGCACCCACCCGGGGGAGTAGAATATGGCAACACTAGATGAGTGGGTGGGGGGGCCTTCCCAGAGAAAGGGGCTGCGGCCTCTCGGACCCACCGACTCCAGCAGTCTTCCTCTTTCGCCCTGTCCTCCAGGCGTCAGTGACCGTGAGGAGCTGAGTAGCCTGCAGGTCCTGGATGCACACACCTTTGCTTTCTGCTGCGCCTCGGGCCGGCTGGGGCTCGTTGACACCCGCCAGAAGTGGGCACCGTCAGAGACCCTCTGCCCCAGCCCTGGGCCTGGTGGAGAGAGGTGGTGTGCAGAAGTTGGGGCCAAGGGCCAGGGCCTTGGGCCCCGCATTGCCAGTCTTGGCTCAGATGGGCAGCTCTGTCTTCTTGACCCCCGGGATCTCTGCCATCCTGTGAGCTCAGTCCAGTGCTCAGTGTCCACGCCCAGCCCTGACCCCGAGCTGCTGCGAGTGACTTGGGCTCCAGGCCTGGACAGCTGCTTGGCCATTTCAGGTACTGCTGAGCAGGATTTTATCTTATTGGATCTCTCTCTGCCAGGGGACTATAGGGTGCCCAGGAAGGAGCCCCATATTAAATCTGGTCCCAGAAGCTGAAGTTGATCACAGAGAAGCTCCAGGTTGAATCTCCAGGTTCTTCAGTGGCAGGCCCTTTCCCGTTGTGGCTAGGAAACTCCCACTCACTGGTAGCAGGCCTTTCCTTTGTTAGCAGGGATCTACTCTGAGGTTGGGTGACAGGTCTGCAGGTGATAAGACGCTAGGCCAGTGCCAGAAAGAGGTGACAGAATCTCAAGGATGCGTCCAGCCTGCTTGCTCTTCAGCTGCTGGGCCTGGCCTGCGGGATCCAGTGGAATGAGGGCGGCCGAGAGCCAGTGCGAAGGATCCATTGCAGTGGGGGTAGCAAGAAGGGGTGACTGATAATGGCAGGATCCAGAGTGTGGAAGAGAGGAGCCAAGCTGGCATGGGGCACTTGGCTGGCTCTTTGGCAAGAGGAAGGTGGCAGGATGAAGTGAGTGGGGTCCCGCCGTGTTCCCCCCTGATGCTCCTGTGCCCCCCTCAGGCAGGAGACAAGGCTGTGTGCTGAGAGCGACCCAGGTGTGGAGAGCTCAGAATCTGGGGCAGGTGGGAAAGATTCGCACAAGTCTTTTAAGCTTCCGTTACCTGAAGAAAAGAATAGTATCTACCTCGCATGGTTGTGAGGATTAGGAGAGAGAATGCACGTCCAGGCTTAGCTGGGGCACGGCACGTGACAGACAGTGACAGTCATCGTTACCTGCTGACATTGAGGTCAGATGTTATGTGAATTTTGGTTGACCTTTGAGTTTATGTTGCTGTTTGACTCCTCATCCTATAGCCTGTTTTGGGACCATAAGAGTAAATTACAGAAACTGAGAGAATCAATATCAGTCCTCTTTTTTTGTTCTTCCTCAGGTTTTGATGGGACGGTGCAGATCTATGATGCCACGTCTTGGGGTGGACCGGGGGGCCAAGTAGAACCTCTCTTCACTCACAGAGGTCACATCTTTCTGGAAGGCAGTAGTGCAGACACTGCTCCCCTGGTCACCACCCACACCTGGCACCCCCGCAAACCAAGGACCCTACTGTCGGCAGCAAGTGACGCTTCTCTGCAAGTGTGGGACTGGGTGGACCCCGGTGCCTCCCGCTGACACCAGCGTCTTTCTTTCCAGGCCTCAAGGAAGAGGAGCAACTGCTGCCTAGCAAAGGCACGGACTTAGGACTAACTGACCTCAGGTCCCGGTCACCAGCTGAGTGGCAGGTTAACCAGCTTCTTTAAGCCCCAGCTTCTTTATTTGTGAAATGACAACAGTAATTAATACCCACCTTGTCGGGCTGTTGGGAGAGTTAGAAGTAGTATGTCGAAAATCACTGGCAGGATGTGGGTATATGTTTGGTAGCTAGCAGCTGACGGAGTTGGAGCTGTCTGCCCCCAGGAAAATGGCAGTGCTTTTTCCCAGTGAGGATAGAGGAGCTAACAAATGTACGTGTCCTGTGAACTTTTTTAAAGAACTAAAAATGTCAAAACAAGATCATGTCGTTTTTGCTGACCAGATTGCCCAATTTTAGAACATTATTGGCTTGAACGGCCGTGCGAGCTTATAGCATATGCAGTTCAGACGGCGCAGGGGAGCAGCAGGTCCTCTAAGCCGCTTGTGGAATGTACGGTGGTATGGTAGGCATGGCGAGCCATGACTTGTATAGTCCGTCTCCTGTTAAAGGACACTTGAAATGTTATCTTTTGCTGTTAACAAGTAGTGTGAACAGCTTTTCTACCCATGAACAATATGTCTGTAAGATAAATTCCTAAAAATAGAATGCTAAGGCAGAGGATGCGAGCATTTTAGGTGTTGTAAATCCTGCCACAGTGCCCTCCAGAGAGACGCATTTTATGACAGCAGCAGGGATATGTCTGCTGTTCTTACCTCACTGACAAGCCAGCTCAGTGGCTTCCTGGCCTTTGCCGGTCGGATAACTGAAAAGTCATTACTTGTAGTTTTAGTCTGCATTTGTCTTCCATGTGAAGTTGAGACTCTTCATATCTTTGAAAGTTCGGGGGCATATATTTTTAAAGATAATAGCCAGTCTGAGTAGAGGCATTTTCTCACCAGTACCACCTATGGTGCCAGCGTTAAGGTAGGGACTGGGCCACCCTCCACTCTGTGGTTCCCGTTGGACCCAGCCTTTGCCAGGGTGGTGCTGTGCACCCTTCCCCCAAGGGGCATTCCTACTTGCTGGCGCAAAGCAAATACTGAAGTGTACCGGCACCTCCATTGCATACCATCTCTCCTGGTCATATTTATTAGAGGGTTTTCAGCAATTTTGCTTTTGAAATTACTTGATCACCACTCACAGTTTGGGCTCTGATTTTTTAAAAATAGCTTTGTGTTGAGATATACATACACCATACAATTCATCCTTGTGGATAGTTTAATGGACTTTGGTATAGTATATTAATTTTTAAAGATTGTGATAGGTATATGTAACACCATTCTTTCCATTTTTAAATGTAGAATTCAGTGACATTACTACATTAGCAGTATTGACAGCCATCACCCCTGTTTCCAAAGCATTTTTATCACCTTACACAATTTCTGGCCATTTTGGGATGTGGGTTTGGCTGTCAGCTGGGCTTACTCGGTGTGTTCATCAGCTCAGGCTGCCATGACAATATCACAGACTGGGGGGCTTAAAAATGGACATTTGTTTCTCACAGTTTAGGAGGCTGAAGTCCAGGATCAAGGTGCTGGCTGACTAGGTGGGTTTTGTTCATGGCTTGTGGAAGGATCGGAGTCCTGCTTGGGGGCTGTGGTTCAGCTGTTCTGGTTTTGGCTGTGTGTGTTCTTCACCATTGCCAGGAACAGACACATGGATTCTGTGCTTGCTTCACATGGATATTTAGGGAACCCAGTACTGATCCTGAGAGTTCCTGCTCCTCTGTTCAGTGACTGGAAGTGGTCAGAATTCTGTAGCACTAATTAATCATCCGAAGGCACAAAGAAGCAAAGGTGAAACCAGTTTTATGCAAATCTCTGCAAGGGCAGCAAGGAAAGTGGATATGTGGACGACTTCAGAGTGAAGTCCCTGCAGTCTTCCCACCCAGCTCTCCAGTGCGGCTCCTGTCAACGCCCAGGCAAAACTCAAGGAAGACAACAGCACAGCTATTTTTCATAGGACCCAAAGGTTCGATATTGTCCATGAAGACCAGCGAAGCCCTTGCTTCAGGCTGGCCGCTGCTGAGTGAGAGCTGTTCTCCAGAAAGAAGCGCTCCTCCTCGATCAGAGTGACGTTCAAGCCACTTGACACGGTCCTCCTATCTAGCGGCAGGGACCTATACTCAGAGCATCCGATGTGCATTCTCTGAAGAGTCGGTCTGAACTTGAAGGGAAAGGTGCAGCTCCCAGGCCCAGGGAATAAGCAAACCCCACTTGACACACCTCACACATCACATGCCAGCAGCCCAAGGTGGCTGTCTCTACGTTCCTCTGTTGAAACTATACAGAGCTAGGTTCCCGAATCTCACCTGCAGCCCCTCTCTTCCAGGTTCCTTCTGCAAGTCTTGCACCAGGGTCACTGCCTCCTCTCCACTCTCTGGATGCTTCTGTCTAACCCAGAGCTGGGTCTCCTGGGGAAGGACAGTCAGGAACTGGTCCAGGACGAGCAGCACCAGGATCTGCTCTTCCGTGCACTCCTCTGGTCTCGGCCACCGATGGCAGAGCGTCCAGAGTTAACAAGGGCCTCCAGGGTCCTAACGCTTCTTGGTAGCAGAAATGCCGAAAATGCTGACAGGAGGTCTCTGGTCCAGGGTCACTGTCTTGAAGGGAAATGTCCTGCCCCCTGTGGGAATCTTCTTCCGGTTTCACTATTCGAAGCTCTTGTACGTGTGGAGTATGGTTTTGTTGGTCCACAGCTACAGCCATTGTACAGCTCAGAGAAGAATCTTGCAACTGCTCTGAAGCTCAAACTTCTTTTACCTTCCTGGGAAGCCACCTTCAGGCAGGGGTCACTAAGTAGAACCTGACATCCTAGTGCCAAAGACACGAATTACGGAGTGAGCTCTAGTGAGAAATCACGTGTCAGCCCAGCAGGACTCAGGTGAAGAAAAGAGCCCCTCTATTTCCCCCTCCCCATGTCCTGGTGACCTTGAAGTCTGGCCCTCTCTCACTGGGGAGGCAGCTCCAAGTTTGATAAGAGGGGTCAAGGGCTGGAGGCTGCCTGGAAAGTAGAGCTTGAAGCTGTGTTTGTGCATCAGTTTACTTGAAGCTGAGAAAATGCCAGTTACCCATATGGAAGAATGAGGATGGGCTGGCGGAGACAATGGGGACAATACACCGTCCACCCTCCCCAGGCCACTGGTCTTCAGAACTAGAATGCTGCAAAATGAACGCGCGGCGAGTAGGAGATGGCGCAGAGATAGCAGCACCTTGGAGAGCAGCACCGGGCGGAGCCGCCCGCAACCTTGATTCAAGGGACCCGCGGCCGCACCACTCGCCCCTCTGGCTGGGTCCTCAGCTGTGGGTACCCCATCCAGCTTCTGTTCTGACATCATAACTCTACCAAATAGGAGGCCTACCTGGTTACGGTTACAGGCTTTCAGAGCAAGGATAATGAAACCGACTCACAGGAATTTAGGAAAATTAAGATATACTCACGCTTCAACTCCCTCAAAGCTGGGCAATCATGGCTCAGAGATCCCCAGGGACTTGCCCAAGGTCACGTAGGTGGTTTATGGCAGGAAATAAGCACTGGCTCAGCCCTCTGACCGTGGACCGGGGCGGGGGTGGGGGTCTGGCCCAAGAGCGTGACTTACTGGCAGGCTACTCTGCTTTGCGGGCGACCTTCTCTGGAAGCTTCATGGGGTAAGTACGGGCCCTGGGGCCCGGGTCACCTCGGCGCCGACAAGCCCCGTGGACGAGAAGGAGAGCGCCGCCCGCACAAGGGGCGCATCCTGCCCCGGAGTCTGCTCGCGGGGACGCGGGGGCCGGGCCCCGGGGTCTCGGTCCGGCCGCGCCTACCCGGCGAGGGTGGCCCGGGCCCGAGGTGAGAGCCGCTCCTGCCCGCCAAGGCTCTGGACTACGCGCGGCCTGGCCCCGCGGAACCTTCCCGGCGGCCACGCGACGTCCCCACACGGCACTAGGACCCCGAGACCCGGAATTGGGGTGTCCAGTAAAGACCGGAAGCGGAAACGCGAACCCCAGAAGGGCTTGGTTTTGCCGGGCCACATTTCCCATAGGCCTCCGCCTGTACCCGCAGACTGACAGCAGCAGCAACCAATAAAATTTGGGGATGATTTAGACTTTCTTGTTTCGGGCAAATCATTGACGGGATAGGACTTTACGACACGCCGCATTTGGGGGAGGGCCCGGGCCACGGCTGCTGCCGACCCTGCCGGCGAGTGTGCGGCGTTACCTCGCTTCCCCTGCTTCACGGCTGCTGCGGAGGCGGCGGCCCCTCTCCGTCTGCGGCCGGGGGCACTGCGAGAGAGAGCCCTTTCCGGGGCGCTTTCCCTTACAACCGAAGGCGAGTGCCTACCCGTGAATTCCTGTTTGCCCCCATTGCACAGGCGAATAAACCCAGGCGGCTCGGCCGAGATGTCTCAGTGTGGAGCCGAGACACCAGTTCAGATTTTTGCCACTTAGGAAAGTGCTTCTCTGGAATGTTGTCCACTGTGGTAATGCTTCACCACCGCGGTTCTCCCCGTCTGTCGGCACAGTCACGGACACCCACTCCCCCATTTCCTGCGTGCGTGGTCCTGGGGGATTCGAGAATACCATCGATGCTTATTCACTCAAGATCAGTTGCGGAACACCTACTTGGCCAAGCAAAACAGACCCTCCTCCTGAGTGTCGTCCAGGAGAGGATGCATTATCTGGAACGCTGCTGTGAAGGACCCAAATAACCACAGTGCAGTATGGTAAGTGCTAAATGGAGGTGCATTCCCAGTAAATGGCTAGGAAGAAATACTGTAAAGCGGCCCAGAGAGTCCACGAGGGAAAGGGGGCAGGAAACCATACTTTAAGGAGCACCCACTTTGCATATTTTATATGGTTTGGGTCTGACCAGGAACCCTGCATGGTAGCTCCCACATCCTATTTAACAGCTGAAAGGTCCAAAATCCAATGGAAGGTGGGTGAAGCTGTGATTTTCCCCACAGGAGGGACAGCGTGTGGTGGGGCAAGGGAAGGAGACGATAAGAAGAGGGGCTCTCCAGAGCCTCTCAGGTCCAAATGTGAGTCTGGGTCATGGAAATTTCTTCTATCATCTGATCTTAGGACAGGAGTTCCAGGAGGCCTGATGTGGAAATTCTGGCCCACGCTTTCAGGATGCACACACATGTAGCTTTCAAACCATTCCCTGGGCCCGCCCAGAAGTCCCACAGGGACTGGCTAGGGGAGACAAAGGGCCAGCCTAGGAGAGGGCTTGGGGTTCCCACCATCAAGTCACCAGAGCAGCTTTACTGTTACATATTTTCTATTATTTTAAGATTTCACTTGAAAAGAGGTTCCACTGTTGAAAAAAGAAAATTGAAAATTACTAACCCAAATCCACTCCCCATTCCCTTAACTCAGGCACCTCTTGAACAAATGAAACTTTCACTAGAAGCAAAATCAAGCATGGAAAGGGTAGCTCCAAAGGCAGCACCCATCCCCTTCACCATCAGCCTCACATCCAGCCCTTCCCTGGAGAGGACACGCACACGTTCTTGAGCTGTGAGCCACACCCCCAAAGAATGGGACAGAGTGTCACGCAGGGTAATGTGTCGTGGCCTGGCTGGACTTTCACCCGGCTGTGCCACTGTAGTACCTACATGTCCTGTCTGAACGTTCACCTGCTTTGTGCCTAAGTGCCTACTGATGCTGGCTGAACTTCCACATGGCTTTTCTAGGAGATAGGATACCTGCAGCCCAGGGTCTCACCTCAGACCAGACAGGCTGAAACTGGTGGGATCTAAGGTGGCAGCTCACTTGACCTCAAAAAGCTCTTTAACTTCATTATAATGTAACTTTCCATACTAAGTGACAGGCCTGCCAGTGCCATGACAGTTGACAATCACCATAACAACGACTGGAAAAAGGCCTAAAGGGACAAAAGGTGATGTTCCAGTTTTGAGAACTTCTTTGCCCATCCCAATGAAAAAACATGAATATTCCTCCCTTGCTTTTAATGCCAAATCCCTTCATTAAATTTGCCCTGTATCTACAGCTTCCCAACTCTCACAAGCCAGAAGCTGATTTGTGAGCTGCCATCCTGCTGTGCCTCTGCTGCTGAAGGAAGCCTGCCCTCCTTGGCACTCGCTTTTGGGCTCTGTACTGGCTTTGAGGCACAGACCTGGGACAGACCGCATCTTTTGGGGACCGACTCCCATCGGGAATGAAAGGACCCCCAGTCGTCTACATAAATAGGATGCTTTCCCAGTTGCAGCTTCCTGACCCCTCAGAGGACAGCTGGTCTCAGAAACCTAGGTAGGTCCGTTCTTTGGGGAAAACAGACTCCATCTAGGTCAGTTACCGGTATTACCACAGAGAATGGGATTTCAGTGTTTACGGCCATGCAACGACTTACCTCTTCCCAGCAGATTTCTGGGATGGGAAGAGCAAGTATTGTCATCAGTTTTGCAGATGAGGAAAACGAAACCTCCAGAAGTGGTTTGTGCTAGTCACACTACCAGCTAGTGGTGCATGTGTCTCGAACCAGGTCTGTTAGGTCTCTTTGGCTCCCAATACTCCACCCACTGCACCCCAGATTTCAGGTCAGGAGCAGGGAAAGACACACAAGAGCAGATAACTCTGAAGGCAGCACCATACGGGACAACTGAGGCAATGTCAAAAGGCCAGTTTCAGCAGGAGTTCGGTTTCTAGATCACTGATGTTTAGAAAAACATTGCATGGAGGTGTTTATAAGCAGCATGTAAGAGGACAAGGATTTTGAGATGAAGGAAATAAGCATATCCTCTAAGAATTTGACTGATTTCAGCCACACATAGTGAGTGAGTGGAGACTGTTGCCTAGACCCACTGGGTCATCCATTTAACTCCATCTTAACCAGTGACACTAACCTAAGTGCAGACGGGGACATGTTCAGCAGGGAAACCTGGAAGGAAGTTAATGAGGCAGCCTTGGGCATTGAGCAGACAGTGGGGGTGTGGGCAGTGGGACCTTTGAAACATTTCTCTGCATCTCCCTCACAGGACCTCTTTCTTTCATTCTATGCTGATCAACCTCTGATCACAAAGCCACCATTTCAGTCACAGGGCCAGGAACAAGGGGTGCTCTGAAGTGGCTTGGGATAGGAGATTCCCCACTGTTAATACTCAACCAGGGTTCTGGTCTCTTGGAAATTTAGTTAACAGGAGCCTACCACCCAGGATCTGGTCATCTCTAGATCTGAGGAAGTCCAGTCTCTGCACCAGAAAGGTGGGGACTGGAACTGGGCTGTGGCAGGTTTGCTGAGATGTGGCAGGTTTGCTGGAGGCCTCCTGCCGGGCACCCCTACCCTGGGACAGCAACAGTGTAAATGGACAGTAGAGGTGCCGAGCCGCCAGGGCCTGCTGGCTGTGAGGGGGCTGGGCAGTTTCCCTGGAGCCAGACCCTCCCTCCCAGCAGTTCTTGTACTGCTGCCCGGGCCTGTGAGCAGATGGAAGATTCTCTGAGTTGGGACATTTAAAGAGCAAGCCAGCCAGGGGCAGGTAGGCCGCAGGAGCCACAACCTCAGCGGAGGCGAGACACGAGCCAGAGGGAATTAACCCTCAGTCATGCAATTCTCCTTCAGCGTCTCCTGTGATCTTGGGCTGTTTTATCAAGTCAAGAGGGTGAAAACAAGGAAAGACTTTTAATATTCTGTCCAGAGGTTTGAAATAGCTGAACAGGGCCAGGCAGCAGGGAGATTAAAACAGCCCTGCCTTTGAAAAACTCCAGGGCTGCCGTGAGAGATGGGGTGCAGCAAGCCGAGCCCATGGGCCCCTGCTGGACCCCTGGTGATGGAGACAGGACCCTCATCAGGGATAAAGGGCTGAAGAGTGACCACCGGTCATGAGCAAGGAAGGACCACTTACAGCTGTGGGTCATCTCAATACTCGCTAAGGAGACTAGAACTAGCAGCCAGCAAATGGTTTTGATTTTAGTGTTCTGCTGTTCTCTCCATTGGTTCCCTAGGTATTTCTTGTGGCTTTAATGGAGTAGAGTGGTTAAATGACAGGGGCTGGGCAGGCTAATTCTGAGTCTCCACCTCCTCGGCTGTAAAGTGGTGACACTTACCTGGCTCACAGGGTGGCTGTCAAGACTGAGACATGCGTGTAAAGAGCTGAGCACAGAGCGTGTGCACAGGAACTGCCTGTGAACTGTGCCACTCCGAGCTGTTACAGCGTATCGTGAACCATAAATGCAACCAAAGGGAAGTAAATTCCATGAACAGAGGAAGCTCTTCTCTAAGTGTAAAACCAGTAGTGAAAGTGAGGATGTGCGGTTAGTGGCACAAGTGTGTTGAGAACCAGGTGCGTCTGGCTCCTGACACACTGTCCTCTACACCACAAGCTTCAGAACAGGGTCCCGGGAGACACGGTAGGGGAGCTGAGTGGGGACTTCTTCTTTCTTGACCTGGGTGCTGGTTACACAGGGACGCTCGGTTTGTAAAGTCCAGTGAGCTGTACACTTTTCAGCATTTATCTGTGTTGTATTTCAACACAAAAGTTGAAACAAAGGGAGCTGTCTCAGTATATAGTGGCATGAGTATAGCGGGATCAAAGGGTAGAAATAAAATAGTCTCTAAGTTTCACTGCGTGCCCGGAGAGAAATAGACTGTGTATATAGACTCAGCTACAATAAAGAAGATGCATGGTTTTTCACTGGCTTTTGATGATGTGACATTCCAAAAATTTGTTTTATTAGAATTGGTTGGCAACCTTTCATAAATGTCTTCAGCTCTGTCTTCATTCCCAATACCAATAAATCACAACTTAAGCCAGAGGCCACTAAAGGCAAAACATTTACTGTGTCACCAAAGGGAAGAGTCTGAAACTAATCCATTTTCCAGGTCAGAATTCTGGCTTTCACCTGCCTCTTGAATATATACATATAACCTTACTGAGCTTCTGCTGTGAGTCTCCATTTCCTCAGCTGTAAATGGAGATATTTACTTGTCTCATAGGGTTGATGTATATGTATCTCCAGGAAGAAAACTCAATTGGCAAGAAAACTTGCTGAGATTCCATCATATACCAGGCCCCAAGCTGGTGGCTGGAGATGAGTTTGGAAACTTCTGTTCGGGTATGAACATAAACAGAAGAGGGAGGGGGCAAAATCACACAGGGGAGAGAGATGTGCTGAAGGTCAACGCCAGAAGAGTCACAGGCACTGAAACTCGAGGGCACAGGGTACAGAAGGCAGGAGGCCCTCATGGAGGAGGTGGTACCCAGGCTGAGTCTTCAAAGCTGTACAGGTGTGCCCAGGCAGACAGGGTGGCCCAGAGTTCCAGAAAAGGGAGGAGAGCAAGCAGAAAGATGAAGTAAGGCCCAGCGGGCCACATTCAAGGGAAGCCGCCATGATGCGAGGATGGCTGGGGCTAGACGTGCAGGGGTGCCGGTCCGCACAGACCCCATCAGGAAGGCCTCATCTGCCCTCCAGTGCGGGGAGCCCCAGAGGGTTTAAGCCAGGTGGTGCCAGGCTGTTCTGGGTTGCACACTGGTTACCATGTGGAGGATGGAGGAGTGGGTGGCAGGGCCAGAGAGGGCTCGGAGCACCAGTAAGGGAGCTACTGCAGGGGTCAGGCAAAGGCCTGAACCTATGCCAGGGGGTCTGAGGCTGGGAGACGGTCTAGCACATGAGGAGTGAAAAGAGAAAGTTAAGTTTCAAAAAGCTTAATATCAACTCTGTCCTGAAGTGGAGACTTAGAGGAAGAGAGATCTAGTGTCTTCTACAATAAATTCCAGAACCTGGTGTCACCTAGGAAACCACCCACCCATCTTCCCACCTCCTAAAACCCCGCGAAGCAGCAGTGGGACTCCTCGCGCACAGCCTCCCCCTAGTGGCCAGCACAGGGACGGCACACTGAGTCCTCAAAACACATTTGTCACGTTAAGTGAAGGAATGGGATTAATGGCAGGGACTTCAGTCTACTGGTTCAGTTTAAAAACCATCGCTGCCTGGCTTGGGAACCGCCGCCTTGTATCTGAGTCAGCTGATTTTGGACAGAGATGATCCCCTGCAGCCTCCTTGGGGGGCCATCTGGCACCTGAGCCAAAGCTGTCACCCCAAGTCTGGGTTGACAGATTGGAGGCAGAGCTGACAGAGGGCTGTGGAAGGGGTGCGCTGGTCAAGCACACGGGTCTAGGTCCACCCAGGTTATGCTCTTTGGAACTGGCTTTTACTCCCTGAAGGTCTTGGGCCACTTTTAACCTGGGGCAGGAGCTTAATGGGTGGGGAAGTGAGATGTGGGTTTGTGGAAGTTAAGGTTTTTAATACACGTTAAAAGGCAGACTCATGAAAGCAGTGGGACTGTACTTTATTAGGCAATACCGGGCGTCCACTATACAAGAACCAAGGCCCTTTGTGAGTGAAGGCTGTGTGTAGAAGGCAGCTTTACACTTCCCAGAAACACCTGCTCTCTCCTCTTCCCTCACCAGACCCCTTCACCTGCTGCTATCCTCGTCTCTGCTATTTCCAGGCTCAAGGACCCAAGAACAAAGCCCTGGCAGCAGTTCCCAATCAAGGGTAACATCTATAGGACAACTCCTGGTCCACGCCTGAATCTCTGTGGGCACAGATGACGTGTCCTCAAAACCAGCACTTCTGTAAGCATAGGAAAGCATACAAAAGCCACCAAGCAGAATCCCAGCTCTGCGTGTATAAAATAAATAAAAACAAGGGAAATGACGAGGGCACAGAGTGATACTGACGGGGCTACACATCTGTGGGGTCACGACACAACCCCACAGTAAAAGGAGACAGAAACTACCATCCACCAGAGGGAGGCAGCTGGGGGTCCCCAACTTCACACTCAGAACCTGAAACCCCATGAGAACTAGTGATCCCCTGGCAGCTGACTTACCAAAGGACAGAGAGCAGAGGCAGAGCAAACATGTACGCCTCCTCAGCTGACACCTTCCCTAGCAGGCCCACTGGGCTCTCATCAAAGCAAAGGCCACTGGGACACTGGTCCAGGCCATGCTTCCTGGTGGCTCGGTGTTCCTAACACTTCCTAGAAATGGAAACGGGCTTTACCTTCATGTGGATGACTCAGAATTGGAGCAGCCTATCCACTGTGACCTGAAATCAAAGCTCAGGACACAAGGCCAGGAAGAGCTGTTCTGACGCAGGCAGGGGTCTGGAAAGCTGGCGGATCGGGGCCAAGGCATGTTAGCCCCCCATAGCGGCAGCAGCACAGCCCATTCCAAGAGATTCCAGCATTTTCTGAGGACTCAGCCAGCTGTGGGCCACACAGTCTCCCACCCACAAAAAGAAAGTTGTCCTGTTCTACCAAAGAGGAAACCGAGGCACAGAGCATCAGGAGAGAGGGAGCCCATCAAGTCATGAACTGCAACAGAAAAAGACCCAACTTTGTGACCTTCGACTGCGCTGCTTCGTTCTTAGGGTTTGACTGACCACTCAGATGACAGGACCCTAGAAATGCAGATGAGCAGGGTTAAGAGTCTGGCAGAAATCCCCCAAGAACACTTAGGAAGGACGGTTCTGCTAAGAAACAGCACCACCTGGGGTCAGCGTGGCAACCCCTCTCCTGGGCCCTTCCCCTCCTTCCCTCTTTGCTGCCTCAGTAAACCTTCTCTTTCATGTGAGTCCTCTGATGTGTAATGAAATTGGAGCTGTTGCTGAAGCCCTTGCCACACTCTGGGCATTTGTAAGGCTTCTCCCCCGTGTGGATTCGCTGATGTATGATGAGAACTGAATTCCAGCTAAAGCCTTTCCCACATTCAGGACACCTGTACGGCTTGTCCCCCAAGTGGGCCCTCTGGTGCATGACCAGGATGGAGCCCCGGCTGAAGCTCTTGCCACACATGAGGCATTTGTAGGGCTTCTCGCCTGTGTGGGTCCGCTGGTGCACCACCAGCTGAGAGCGCTGGCTGAAGCATTTCCCACAGTCGCCGCATTTGTAGGGCTTCTCGCCCGTGTGAGTCCTCTGGTGCTTGATGAGGTTGGAGCTCCAGCTGAAGCTCTCCCCGCATGTCAGGCACTCGTAGGGCCTCTCGCCCGTGTGCACGCCCTGGTGGGCGATGAGGCTGGAGCTCTGGCTGAAGCTCTTCCCACACTCCCCACACTTATAGGGCTTCTCAGCCATGTGCGTCCTCCGGTGCGTGGCCAGGTTGGAGCTGCGACTGAAGCTTTTCCCGCACTCGCTGCACTGATAGGGCTTCTCTCCGGTGTGAGTCCTGCGGTGGGTGATGAGGGCGGAGCTCTGACTGAACCTCTGCCCACAGTCGGGACATTTGTACGGTTTCTCCCCCGTGTGGATCCTCTGGTGTCTGATCAGGTTGGAGTTGTAACTAAAGCTCTCACCACATTCTTTACATTCGTAGGGCTTCTCTCCAGTGTGGATTCCCTGATGCGTATTAAGGCTGGACCGGTTGCCGAAGCCTTTGCCACACTCGGGGCATGAGTACGGCTTCTCTCCTGTGTGGGTTCGCTGATGAGCGATGAGATTGGGGCTCCTGCTGAAACTCTTGCCGCACTCGGCACACTGGAAGGGCTTTTCTCCTGTGTGGATCCTCTGGTGCGTGATGAGGTTTGCGCTCCGGCTAAAGCTTTTCCCACAATCCCTGCATTTGTAAGGTTTCTCCCCAGTATGAGTAGTTTGGTGTCTACTGAAGTTTGAACCATCGCTAAAGCTTTTCCCACATTCATTGCATTTGTAATATTTCTCTCCCGTGTGGGTCCGCTCATGTGTGATCAGGTGGGATTTCCGGCTGAAGGTTTTCCCACACTGGTGGCATTCATAGGGCTTCTCACCCAAGTAGGTGCCCTGCAGGCCAATGAGCTGTCCAACTTCCCTGCCCTGGGATGGTACCTCCCCGGGGTCCTCACCTGGGGCATTTCCCTGGGGCCCCCTGGATCCACAGTCTCTCTGAAAGTCACTTTCCCAATCAGACTGCCGAACGCCTTCCCCTTCAGGCATTTCTGAGAACATCTCATGTGCTTCGACATCCTCAAATATGTCTTGATTAGGGTTGTTGCAGTTTTCACTCTGGACCTCAAAATCTGAAACAATGAAGAAAAATGTACAATTACTTATAATGATGAGCAAAGAAAATCAAAGAGAAATTTTTTTAAAAGTTAAACTTCTAGTGTAAATAGACGCTAGAGAATCCTCAACACTTTTCAAAGCCAGGTTTATTTCCTTCTGACTGGTTTAGTCGCCAGGCCTCATACCTTTGTGCTTATCACCCAGAATTTCCAAGTCTTAAAGATCTGACTTCTGTCTCTGTTTCTCCCCTGGGAAATGAGGTCAGGTGGGAATTTGAGAATCCTAATCAAGGGAGAGCAGCAGGGTTCACAGTGACCCCCCAGTACTCACCATGATGCCTGATGCTTAATAGGTGCGCAAGTAATTTTGATGAATGAACAAGTATTTCATGGGTCCAACAGAAATTTCCCTAGAACTCTGTCTCCCTTCCAAAGGAGCTTACATAATAATCTCAGGCATTAAAATATGTCTTGGGCTTACATCTTGTTGGTGGGTAAGACACCGACAAGATGACAGAGCCCCTGCAACAAGGGCACTAGGTGTCTGTACAGATGACTGGCAACAAGCAGGTGGACAGTTAAAAAAGCTCGCAAATTCATGTGCAGTTGGAACCCACAGATAGACCTCCCACTGGTAATACAAAATATCCACTCCCGGCCACTTGGACACTCTCCACTGCCCGATATTTACCAAACCCTGGGTGAAAGAATACATCGGGGAGGATTGCTGGGGAAATACACATTCCCTTCCTTAAATGAGAGAGACTCTAAAGTCTGTCCCAGGACTGAGCCAGCAGCCATGCGCCCGGGGACACTGCCCACAGCTGCTGAGATGTGTTCACTGAGCTGCTGTGCTGACTCAATGGCTCTGGCCAACAATGACTTACACTCGAAGAAGTGTCATCAGAAATTAATGGCTGTCAGGAATGCTGCCAGGAAGTTGTTGATGATACTGTTTACACCATACAGTGTCCTCTTCATGAGCCCGAAGAGGAAATTTCCCTCCAGCCAAAATACCAAAAGCTGCCACTCTTCTGAGCAACCGGTTTGTGTTTGCTGAGTTTCCCCCTGCGGTCCCTCCTGGCCTTGCCTGCTTGGAGCCACAAGCTCAGGACAGGAGCGCCGGGGGCTTTCCTGCTTGCAGTTTATGTTTTTTTCATTTCATTTTTTCCTTCCCATTATTCTTTCTTACTATAATTTCTTTGTATCCTATTTCTGGAAGGTGGTTTCAATTCTTTTTGGGAATTCTGTGAAGAGTACAGAAATCAGTGACTTACTGATAAAGATAATAGCCTGATTATTCCTAACACTTAACATCAGACTCCTGAGAAAGCAGATCCATCCAAAGCAGGGAGACAATTAGTAAAATGGTTACACAAAGTCCTAGGGACATTTCCATTATTGAGGCCAGTAAACTATTTAAAGTGAGATGCTCAATTCAGTGATTATTAGTTTCTGTAAGATAATGTACATTTCCAAATGTGCACATGATAAAATCTGACATGCATCTCTCAGGCAGAACCTAGGTTCCACGTATGTCTCTAGTCAATATAAGACTGGCTGAACTTGGAAAGAGACACCTAACTACATTTTGTGCTCACGCTAACATACATACTGCAGGCAATCTGTGGGCCCCCTTGCCCCCCCCTTGGACAGGGTCAGCAGTTCTGTGCTTCCTCAACTTCCTGCAACAGTGTTTTGTAAGTTTCTAGCACACAGCTCCGCAGTCACATCTCTTCCATCATGTCCTCCAGGCTGAGGCCCCAATTTACTTTCTGTAAGCTAAAATATTTTCTCTGATTTTAGTAATTGTTCATTTCTAAATAGGGGCATTAACAAATAAAGCCTTTCAATGCCTTAAAACCAGAAGACCTGGTACGTTCTGGGATGAGCTTAGGAGCAACAGGGAAAACAAACAAAAACTCAAAACCTCATTTTCAGTGAGATTAGGAGGGCTTCCAAAACCAGCAGAGACGCCACGAGCCAAGGAGGGAGGAGGTGAAGAGAACTGTTTGGCAGCAAGACACCGAGGGGCAGCAGATCTGTACCAGCTCAGGCAGAAAATCACTTCCTGAAGGTAAGGGACTCGCCCTCAAGTTCAACAGTGCACTTGGGACCTGTGGGAAGCAGGGCTGGCTTTGCTGGTTCAGAGAAGCAAAGCTGGTGAGGCTGCCACCAGAACCCCACAGAAGAGCCACACATGCAGGAAGCTTCCTGTTTCTGTAATGCAGAGAAGAGAGCCTTTGACTGTCACACATTAATCACGGGAATTTCTATTACTGAGAAAAGCGATCACTTTCCATCCATTAAAAAAAAGTTACCTGAAGCAACCGCCTCTATGAAGGAAGACCACAAAGAGCTGAGGGAGGGATGCAGCGTGGGCGCCCAGCCCGGGAAGGGGGCAGACCCAGGGGCTTGAGGACAGAGGGCAGGAACACAGAGGAACAGGCACCGCGACGGGAACGCACAG